TGTAGTGCATGGCACCACAACCGTGAAGTTTAGTCGTAGCACAAGTGGTTAAACAGTTTCTTAGTTATAGCAGTATAAAAATCTCCTTAATAGAAAAGGTAATGAATTAAAAATTGTGAATTACTTATTTAAAATTATGAGACCTACAGTAAAAGCCTGACTATTCAACATTCAGCTAATTGAAAAGATCAGTAGCCAGAATATTTTTGAAATCTAGAACTTTTTAACCCCTTCGTGCCGGGTAGCGCAAACGGGCGCTTATCGCGGAGGCCTTACACGAGCGTCTGTCCAGGGCCGGGGGCTTTTTTGCTATTAAGCCTAAATCCATGAAATTTCGAAAGTATCAATGCATTGTTTAATAATGCTCTATAGAGTATTTAAACAGCTTATGCTTTATAGATTTTTTATGTATACTTTAATTACCTTATTTCTTGTTTAAATGCATATTTTACACATTTTATTTTCATTACTCACCATTTTATGACTTTTAACATTATACATCTGAAAACTAAATATATTACTTAAAATTCTCTTTTCGTATGAAAATTTGAAAACTGGGATCTATACACAGTCCTACGTTACATTCCCTGCAGTCGTAATAACTCATGTGCCGTTTTGGAGGATTTTTCCGGGAATGTGAACAAACGAAGCATCGTCGTCTCATTTTCTTATCAGTCTCTTCTGAACAAAGTTTTGGAAAATGTCTTTCAGTTATCTTTCAGAATCAATATCAGAATTTCAGAATCCATATCTGAAATATTTGGCATCATTTCTGCTATTTCATGCTCTGTTAAACATTTTCGATGCTTCGACATTGCAACGGTGAACCAGAAAGAATTCGTGTCTAACAAGATCTAATTATTTTCTAAAAACTGAACTGCAAACCGAAATATCCAACGCTTTAGTGAAAATAAAACTTCTCTACTTACAATAAACAACTACTACATGCGAATTTAAAGAGACGTCATAAATCACGCCATTCGGAAACATTTATTTCCCCTTTTGTTTACATAATCAAAAACACATGTATGTGAGTCATGCTTCTCTCATTTCGAGTAGAAGGTCTAATGTACATGTATCTGAAACCATATGGACATACAGTGCCATCTTGTGGCAGAAATTATAGTTTTTAAAACACACTAGCACAAATACATGACATTCGGGGCTGATAGGGAAAATGCTCTGGCACGCCTGCGTGTCGGCCGGGGAAGTGAGTGTGTTCGTTGCTGGCACGTAGACATGACAGTCGGCGGGAAGGGGTTAATGGAAAATTAAGCAAATGAGAAACTTGTAAAATTATCATGAAGCACATATAGGACTACTACTCAAAACCCTGCTTATACCATTTAGAATGTGAACATAGGGTATGACTCACCTTCAGATGTGGATCACTTCCCTTTTCCACCATGCTATCTTTTGTAGTGTTACAAATTTTGTGTCTGTGTAAGTAATTTTAGTAACATTATGTGTAAATCATAGTATCTCTTGTATAATATAACATGAAATACCTTGAGAATTCGAAGCTATCTCAGAAAAATAAGTTTACAGAGGTAGGTTGATTTAATGTTGAGGTAAATGGCTATCGCCAAGCTGTCAGTGGTCTTGGTGACTAGTGTTTTCACCAAATCTGGTGAGAAATCGTCAGAGATTGCTAATCTTGATGACCATCTGGCGACATTTGGTCCGATTTGTGTGTAACTGTAATTGATCTGGTATGCAACTGTAACTGTGTCCAGCCATATATGTAATTGTATTCAGGCCCTTTATGTAATTGTAGCTTTTCAGCAATTTCAAGAAACCAAAGATACTGGAAATTTCTTGGCAATGTGCGAAAAACTTATATAAGCCCGGAGAGAACATGGGTTCTGTGTTTATTTCAGAGTTGAGTTCGGAATATTGAGAGATCTACGTGCAAGCTTCACCCTTTAGATAAACTTTGCATTGTGTTAAGTGTTCTGAGTAGTTTAAAGTGATAACTGATCATTGTGTTCTGTCATACTGAGAAGAGCTGCACAATTACTTTTGTATAAAGTTCTAGAACTGTCAAGTGTTTCTTTTGGGAAAACAAAAATGTAAAACTATCATCAGTTCTGTGTGTGCATCCAATCCATTATGAACCCATGTGCTTATAACAGTAATATGCCAAGAATTTGAGTTGGGTATTCCTCTTAGAAAGGGAAGTCGAAGTATATTAGAGTTTCAGAAGTTTGACAGGCTTTGAGTTTGCAGTTTGCGAAAATATTGTCAGAGTTATATTTAATGTTGACTATTTCCGAGTGACTTGTCAACAAACAAAGGCTTGCCAAACAGATAACACTGTCATAACATTTCTGGTTTAGTTTTATGTAAACATGATTACTTCTTGATAAGCAAGTTTTAATTTTGTGAAGAATGGCTTAAAATATGTACCATTTATCAATTTTTTTTCATAATATTTTGAAAAAAGATATTTAACTTTGGGATCTGCATTCAGCGGAACTGCATGCAGTGAAATATATTCAAAGTTAGGGGATGCTGGCATCAAGAAAAATGTGTGTTATGTCATTTATTTGAATATGGATAAATGCTAACATGGAGCATGAAAAACTGACAGGCTATTTAAATTTTTTATACCTGTATGTCTTGATGTATGTTATATTAACTGTATTAACTTGTGTCTAAGTAAAAAGTTATCTCTTCCTTCAAACTTCTCCTGAATGATTTGTACAAGTTTGGCAGGTTGTCTACCAATTTTCATAGTTAATGGTGTTTCATAATTAGCTGCTTAATAGGCTGTTTTATTTTCTTACATAAACTTTTATGTTTCAAAGGTATTTTGCCCTAAAATCTCTTGTATGTAGACAATTTGATATTCAAGCTGATAACAAAAAAGATGAACCAGAATTTTTTTTTTTTTTTTTGTTTATTTATTTAGCAAATTTTCTGCTGCAACTAGCGCTTTTTATATGCGTAACTATCTGCAACTTTTAAGTGTATAATATTAAGCATTTTCCAATTTTTCTGGATAGTCGATCTTTTACTGCATATAAATTGTTGTACTGTCAACTATTGTGCTTTATGCATGAATAATATGATTTAAGTAAAATATTAAAAGATTTAATATATATTACTGTAAAAGGTCCAAATTCGGGACTTCCATTATCTGGAAAGATCTGGTATCTAATCACTTAACCACAAGCCAAAAAAGAAAAAGACTGAAAGTCTAGGAATGAAGAGTTTTTATTATTGTTATTATTAAAGATCTGCCATAAAAGCGATTTTTTATTATGACCAACTAAGATTCTTGTGTAAACAAACATGCGAAATATACAAAAGCTTGTTGGCTAGGGAGTCATAATGACAATATATTGATTGACTTCAACTATGACCACACTTTCGGCCCTTGACTGGTTGTGGAGGCAGAATGTTAACATTTTTCTGTCTGACAAAAACAGTAAATGAATTAAGACATAGTTGGAGTGGGATGTTGCTCATACTGGTATTTTCTTCTCCCCCCTTTTTTTTTGTTGGCATAGCAGTAGGAAAGGGGGGTAAAATTAGAATCTGAAAAACTTAAGCTCAATTAACATAGTAAATTATACTCTTCCTAAACTTTCTAATTTGATCCAAGTGATTATTTTTTTTAGTTTGATTTTTTACTTATTTTGAAGAAAGAATCTAATTCTAAAGCTGTAACATGATCTGCAAAGTGAACGTGTGTTTGCAACTTGCCTGCTATAGTGGCCTTGATGAGATAAAACAGTGTTGTCACTATTCGGGCTTATAAATGTGCACTTCAAAATTAGGCAAAACAGCAACCTTATTTTGCCATAGATTTTTGAAGGCTCTTACAGAAGGCAAAATTTTCAGATTACTCAATTTTGTGAAAAAATGTAGAGTGGTGGTAGTAAATGAAGTTGATATATCAGAAATTTTTCTGTTGTGATGACAATGCCCTAATCAGCAATTATCTAATAGATGACAAAGTCTGTATTATGGTTTTAAATCCTGAAAAAATCACTTACTGATAGCAAACAAAGTGAAGATATGTTTGAAAAGAAAAGATTTCGATTGAAATTTGATGGAAATTCTTTACATGGCAATTACAGAACCTGAACAGTTGAACTTTGTATCTGAACAAGAAATTGTCTGTCTATAAAATTGAAGGGAGAGTGTTGGCACAAAAAATGAAATAGTTTAAACAACTTATATTGATAGAAATGTTGATAAAATAAATATATATTTTTGTAAATTTTGATTCCCTTAAGATCATAAATGATTCATTATTTCATATTTTAATTTTATCATTTCTACATATCATCGTACTAGATTTAGACTGATGATATAAAATGCAGAAACTGCAATAGTCCTGATAGTTTCCGGTCTTAGCTTTCGTACTATATAAATTTTCGTATACATTTCAAATTAAATCATTCTCATTATTGTCATCCCCATTGCCTATGAATTCTTTAAAATGTGTTTTAAATAAAAATGCGGTGATCAGTGTTAAAAATTGCGACATTGTTTATCTAAAATGCAGAAATTTAAATAAAAATAGCTTTAAAATATATAACTTTTTTTTTTTTTTTTTTTTTTTTGCTTTACTATAAATAATCCTTCTTTTTGGCTTTCTACTTCCAGAAAAATTTCTCTGGCTTCAATGTATTTTCTGATATTCTCCCCCCCTCTGTTTCTGGTTCAAATAGCTGATTTTTTTTTCAGTTATTTGCTGTATCCTTTTAACATTCATTTTATCTTGAATTGCTCAATATGCTCACTGAAACTGTGAAATTGTAGAAAAATTTTGGTTTATTTATTAGATGTTCTATTTCTGATACATACATTGCTCAGGTATTTACCAATATCACCTTGTTCATATTACTATGTTATGAAATTTTCTAGCTATTCTGATGGAATTTAATCAGTACATTATTATTAATTGAAATGAATATTTCTGGAGATTAATGTGTGCTTGATTTATATCTTGAAATATTAAAGCTTTTGAGTTTTTTTTCTTATAGGTGTTGCATGTTTCGATACATAGTATGGAAGATCATGGGTATACTGTGGATGTTGGGATTAAAGGTGTGAGAGGTTTTCTTCCTTTTACTTCAGAAGATGATCAAAGTAAATTACAACCAGGGGAAATTATTCCAACCTATATTACAAAAATCTCAGGAAATTCAGTTGTTTTGGGGAAACTGAATTTTAATGAGACATTTCCCGAGGTAAAAACATATTTTTAATGATTACTGTATAGTGAAGTTTTATTTTTGTTTAATTTTAGACCAAAGAAATAGTGTTATAGATGTGATATGAAATTTAAAAAAAAAAAAAAAATGTTTAAAGTCTTGTATTAAAAAATGTGTATAAATTTTCAGTAAATCTTGAAGATTCTTTTGTATCTTAAAGACTACTACAATTAATTGCTTCTATTGGTATGCCTTTGGCATAACAACCCTTATTTCAAGCATGTTTATATTCTTTTAATATCTGCCTACTACCTTTTTATATGTTAGCTTCTCATTTTTGATTCTTCATTAGAATAGTATTGCATGTTTATTTTTTAATTTGTATTTCGTCAGTAAAAATAATGCCCTTTAATTCGGCAACTCTCGTATTTTCCCGTAAGTTTCCTTCATGTGTGTCTCTTGCCTTTTATGGGTTAGCTTTTTATGTTTTTGTGTAAGGTTTATTTTAATCAACATATTATTTCTTACGTTAAATCTGTGCTGCACTTCTTCTGTTTCGTCTTCCATGTTAAAAACATGTAAATGAAGTGAACTTTCAAGTATGACCAAGACTCTAAGTAAAGGAAAGAATGTTGACCCTGATGATACAGTAAACGTCCATAAATTCGCGGAGCTTGGGACCAGAGGTTGTGCGGATTTTAGGATTTTGCGGATTTCAGGACAGAAAAGATAAATCATAATATTCAGACTCAAAGTGCAAAATAAATAAGGCGTATTAGATACATTTAATTAAATTATTATATACATTATTGCAATAACTTATTATATGCATTAAATTATTATTACATATATAAATTGATTATATTATTCATTGTATTAATATATGTACACAGCATCGAGGTTTGCCAATTTCGCCTCATGCAAAGATTTCCGGTGTTAGAATCACTGTTGCTGTAAAATTTCAACAGCTTTTCTTTATTTTTCCATATATCATACACAATTATTGCAATTCCATATGATTCTGCTATAAACCAAGGAGTAGCACCTGCTTCCATCTTTCGAAGAATTTGCACTTTTTGCATTACCGTCAATGCAACATGTTTACGTTTTTCAACGTTGCAAGCAGTAAAATCATGAGTGCATTTCTTATCTGTAATTGTATTAAAAAGGGCTGGAATTTAAAATGTTCTTAATTTATCCACAAAATAACCGGATAAACAAAAGAAGGTAGCGCCAAATAATCTCGTGAAATAACAAAGCTCAGAAAATACAACATGAATTGTGAACTTGAAAGAAGAGTTGAGTGAATCGTCTGCTTTTTTACCTCGATGTAAATTAAAGGGAGACAAAACTTACCATGATGTCAATAATTTGGTATTTCCGTTATGACTTATTATTATTCGGTAATTATGACGTCATTATTCGGTAAGTATTTTTTCTTCGATATTTCGTACTCAATGTTGCGGTTCCCGGAACCTATAAACTAAATGTTTATATTTTGAGAGGCAATGCAGATTTCAGGAGTTGGCGGATTTCAGATCTGCGGATATTTGACCGTACTCCTCCGTTGTTTTCTGCCTTGAGGACTGTTGGTAAATTTGTCTCTGAAAATTAAGCTACTAATAGAATTGTGCAATCATAGTGTTAGTCTTTTAAACTTTGGTTTGTTAGTTTTAATTGTTGTCTGGATGAAAGAAGCAGAAATTAATAAATTTTTGATGTTTTAGTTTCTCTAACCAAGGTTGCCACTCTACCTGAAAAACCAGAAAAAGTCGGGGAATGCAAAAATTGACCAAAAAAGTCAGGCAATTTAAATATTTTAGTCAAAATCTGGAAAAGTCGGAGAATTTTGTATGGTAATCTCCCAAAAAGTGACTTTTGCACCAACTTTAGAAGCGATCGCTTTCTTGGCGAATTATGTATTGTGTGAGCGTCATTCAGGTGGCTGGCATAGAGCCAATTTTTGCAGCTCCGTCATTTAGAAAGGCAAAGGAAATTTCCAGCAACTTTGGTTTCCAGTAACTTCAAGAATCGAGATACTGGCATGTGCAGTACACGTTAAACTAAAGAACATACCTTCCTATTCTCGTATGGTTACAAAGTCAGTTTAATCCTAGTATATGGTACTATGTAGGTTAGAAGAGCCGCCATGTACTTATTACTGCATATACGGTATACATGGGATTTGGCGACATTATGATGAGCAGTAAACGTTTCATTTTGGTATTGGCAACAATTTTCAAAATCGTGCCAAGGCCGTTGCATATACTAGGATTTACTGTGGATTTACCATACTCCTTTTTTTTTTTTTAAATAAATGTCTTATTTGTCATTTTGCACTAAAATAAAAAATATAGTAATCAGTCATCTAGGCTAATCATTTATTTAATATAACTATATTCACCAAAATACCGTTGATTATTGTAACTTTATTTGAATGTTATTCGTATCATTTAATGTTGCTTGTTCCCTCTAAATTTATTTATTATTACTTAATAATACTTTCAAATTTCAGGCAATTTTCTCTGGCATAATACTGAAACTAATTCTAGCAGTATGATGACATACTGTTAGAAATTTAATGCACATATTTTTTTGTTTATGTATGCTGCTAAATAAATATAAAATACATGAATTTATTTTAAAATATCACTAAATACATTTCTTTCTTTCTTTCATTCATTTTTTTAATCCAGATTGGGCAGATTCTAATCTCAATCTTCAGTGGAGAAAACAACTCCTGTTATAACAGTAATGCTTTGGGGATTATATATATTATATATATATATCTATATATAAGTCATATATAATTGGCAAATTTTTGTGTTTCGAGTGGTACCATAATTAATTTATCTTTCAGCATAGCCAACGCACTCTAAGCGGAAAGACTGGAATTTTCTTAAAACGCACCTGGAAAACCTGGAAAAGTCAGCTAATTTCATTCTCCTGTTTGAGTGGTAGTCCTGTCTAACTTTCTATTGATACACAACTAAACATGTAGTGATTTTGCATTAATATAATTGCTTATTTTACATTGCTGAATGTACTATATTTGAAAGGCAAAGATGGCTCAATAATTTATCCATTAGTCTAAGAGAAACTAGTGTTTAGATGAAATATGTATTTAGATTAAATTCAAATCGAGCTTAATTTTACAAATTTTACATTTTATTGCTAAACGATCTGCTTCTTAAAATATGTATTTTATCTAACTATATTAACTTTGCCACTGACTGAAAATTGTGCTGTTCTGTAAGATTCCAAGAAAATAAAATTCTACTATGCTATAGGCTTGTGAGAATAATAATGAAATGAGACTACGACAAACTTGTGTGGTGTTGTCTAGGTAACAATGCTTGAATAAGAAAGGCACAGATTGGTTTCACAATCAAAAATTCCGTTTTCAACCTTATGATGCTATTGGTTGGAAAAAGTGATATTGATCAAGCAACTGTGAGATGCAGTTAAATATTTTAATAATTCAAGTATTTTAACCATTTAAAGAAATAACTTTATGAGAGCAGTTTGCATAAAATATCTGGTTAAATATCCTTGATTGAGGAACTTAAATATCCTTGACTGAGGTTGAGGACATAAAATAATTCTCAAAATCAACAAAAATATCTGTACATTAAAAAAAATGACCTTTAAAAGTTGTATCTTTCTGAAACTGTATCATGAAAGTAAAAGGGCTGAGATAATTGTGTCAAAGTTATTCTTGCTGCAGTTGCTACTTACGACCACAACAATTTTGTATATTAGAATTGATGTTCTTTTGGTGAGATTTAGGCAAACTGGTTGCTTGAAAGATCGCAAATATCTTTGAAATAAGTAAAATTTATTATCATACAGTATGTATAAAGAATTTTAATAGAAACTAAGTGAATTGTTAATTAAAAAAATTGAAATTTGCACATTTATATTTTTCAGTAAATTAGTTCCCTAAGCACCATTTGAATAATGAAAGTTCAATCTGGATTCAACCCTGGCTGCATGGGAGTTTTTGTCATTTTTCCTATGTGTGATAGCCAAGCTGTATGATGTGAGACAGTTTATTTAATATATCGTCTATGTTGGCATTCCTCCTCTTAAGCGGATAACTCTTGCATGCTTGAGTCTGAACCAAATAACCTATTTGAGTTACTAAACCTTTATGGATAGTAAAAACACCAGGAACACTTTTGTGCATTGTCCAAAGCATATTTTGTTTATTTGGAAATTAGGGTCAATTATTAGTCTTTTATTAACATCACAGTCATGAAGATTTTGGTCTGTGTTCATTAGAGAAAGAAAACCCTAGTAGCATTCTTTTCTGAGAGCAAAATCAAACTTTCTTGACATGCTTCTAAACTGTATTCTTTTTTATGGCTAGCCAGTAATACTAGTAATTTGCCATTCAGGATAAAATTGTTTTTAATGTGAATTATCAATGCTTAGAATTTTTTAGGTCTTGATCAAGCATTAATATAAAACTTTTAAGGTTAATTTGTTCTGGATACTGAATTTAAGTCCTACGACCTTTCTAGACAAATTAGCTAGTTATCGATACTTCTGAAACAGTATGATGAAAACTATAAAGGTTAAAATAACCTTTTTATTTAGTCTGAACTTTTAACATAACAGGCATGACTTATATTACAGATCAACCACTACTTGTGGTGATGTAAATTAAGAAATAACAGTCATTCAATTAAACACTGATCTGTAGTATAAGACCAAACACGTAATAAATTAAGTTATAGGCTTATATAAATTAATTTATAGATTAGCTCAACTAATTTTACTTGCATGTAAATTTAAAGAACAGTTGTGTGAAAATGTGAAGCTAGGATAATAACTTTCAGATGGAGTTAACAGAAATCTAACAAAACTATGTTAGTGCCAGAAGCTCTTTGTCTTAAAATTCAAAACCCTCAGCTTATATATACTTAAAGCTAATTTGAGTTCTGGTGAGGAATAAGGGAGGAAGAAGTCATAGTAAAGCTTAAGATTATAACTGATTAATTAACATAAAGTTTGTTACATTTAAATAATTG